TTCAAGTATGATGCAAATCGTAGAGATCTAATATGGCTATTATCAAGATCCAGTTTCACATTAAAAATGCACATGTATATTATGGTGTGGTATATTTTACATTAAAAATGATAATTACACAAATTACAAATATAATTCTGACCCCCTTTTTAACTGCACCACTGTATTTAGTTCCCGACGTAATAACATATATGTTGTTCTGTAAGATAATATATTACTCAGTGTACCTAGGTATAATGATATGTTATTTATCTCGATAAATTGGTAAACACACCTGTGTGTTTCCCAGAAAAAAACATCCTGTATCGGTAGGTAATTGCATACCTAGAAGGAGGGCTAAGGGGGCTAACTATTCGTGTTAAATAGAAAACAAATTATATAAACTATTCAGCAATGAAAACGTATTATTAATAATAAAATAATAATCATTACACATTTCCACTATCTATTCTTCTACCGAGTACAAAATAGTATTTTACTACATAATTCGTCCATAAATAAATAAATAAATAAATAATGTTGTTTTTGCAAAACATTTTTCATTTTCAGATTCTAAATGGAGCGAGGAGTGTATTAGTTTTACAATGATGTTTATTATTATTATTTTTTTTTTTTTTTATCTGTAAACGACTTTTTTATCAGAAATTTTGTTCCGATTTTCAAGTGTAGCACCTTTTCCGAAAGGAAATGTTATCTGGCTGATCTGGTTTTTTCCACCCAGGTCATTTTTTGATTTTCCAAGCGGTTTTCATATTAATTGGGAAAACCAGGAAAAAACGTAGGAGAACCGGAAGATGTACGAAATTTATTATTTTTAATTATGTTTTTTGTTGTGATTCAATCGTATCTTTTTAGTCTTCTAACCCATCAAAAAATCTTAGGGTACGCTACTCTAAGATTTAGGTATGTTGTGTTATAGTTTATCTATATCTATTGATGGCAACAATTAATTATTATTATACATACAAATTGATTATATTGAATTGGAAGTATTTATAAAATTGAAAATAATAATGTTTGTTGAGTTTTTAATATATTTAACAGGTTATCTGTTATAATAGATTTTTTTTAAAAAAAATGTATTTATTGAATTATAGGTTTGAAGTTGACTACGCGCACGGCTGCACTGCTGCATTGTTATTTTAGAGAAAAACTGGGATTAGTGTGGTACCTAACTATTAGTAATAATTATATGAGTTATTTTATTCTAATATTACGTCATTTCCGATTTCATAACCATATAGGCATATAATAAAGCACCATTAAATTGACTCCCGAAACTGTGAAATAATATTAAAATTAATATTAAGTGTTCCTAAAACACTCCGACTTGTATATTCGTCATTTTTCATTCTCGCCAAATTACGCGTTATTAATTACGTTATCCAATAACGTGTACCCGCAATTTTCAAAATAGATCCAATGACAGCGGTAACATGGTTAATCGTGTAGTTAGAACGCATTAACACACTGGTAATTTTTCTGCGTAATTATAATTTTCTTTCTAAAATCTACAGTTTAAAACCTAGTATTTCAATGCATTATGCATATTTTGATGGTAAGGCGCAGAAACTTTAGGGAGCTATAGCCCCGGGCCGCAAGTTGAACGGGGTCACACGATGTGTGTTTTTGTTGATGACTTTTTTTTTTTTTGCTTATCAATCTTTTATACTTATGAATATTAAAACATTACATGAATCTTTTGCCGATAACCTTTGCTGATATTGTAATATTGGAAAACAGTATGCAGGTAGATACGCCTGTCGAGTAGAAGAAGTGTGTAGTGGTACCCCGTCGATTTAAAATCTTTGTATACTAACCCATTTTCCCATACATTATTTATTTCCGTCACGTCACCGTGATAATCATATATATAGGTGGATACCCTTGTAATATACGTAAATACATTTTTATTTTTTAACGTTTTCCATCTAAAAATATTACCTGTTTACCTTGTAACCCTACCTTAATAAGTGCAATCGGCTGTTACATGAAAGTGGAATGTCCATATATACTATACTTTATGATGATGGTTAACCAAAATAGCCATCATCTGTCGATGGTCATATTATTATTATCGTATATGTAATAAAAAAAAAAACAACTAAATTCCTATACCTACTCAGTATTTATAATGTTAAAAATAAGTACCTATTAAACTGTATGGTTTCTTGTTATAAAAATAATCTAATTCAGCAAAATATGTGCCATATAGTTATGCTAATGGAATGTAAATTCAGTGCTCGACTTGGGGGGACGTAGGAGGACCTCGGCTAATTTTTTAGTCGTTTTAGCGCACTTCTACTATAATAATCCTTGAAGTGGAGCGCACGAGACGGTACATATGTTTGTATAATATTTATCAAAAGCCGTTTTCATTAAAATTTGAACTTTAAACGCTCAAACAAAAATAATTACTACATTATACCGTCAGCTTTTTTTTTTTCTAACTCTAATAACAATTTAAGAAAAACCTTGTGTTACGTTTTCGAGCATTTTCGCTGAGCTAGAACAATTACATCCATAAAAAATCAAATAAATACCTAAAAGTCTCGAAATGATATAAATGATATTATACGAGTTCTGAACACCGGTGGTGGAAAAAAATGCATTACATAAAATATATCCTGTAAATATCAATAGTTGTGTAGTAATCAAATGTCCACAAATTTGTAATTCAAACACATAATTCCTCGCATTCCTATTTCATTATTCGTTTTCAATTTTAAAGTTTTAATAATCCATCCATACATAATTCTGCTGTAATACAGTGTTTTTTTTTTTTTTTTCATATTGTGTAATAGAATATAAGACGAATAATAATAAAAAAAAAAATAATGAATTCTCATCTGACAGCGTACTATATACTCTTGTCGTGTAACTTGTTCCCAGATGTACACAGCTGTCGACTGGGAATTAAATATGTTTCAATCGACCCACGACGGCTTATTTTTTCAATTACCGCAGTTGTATCGTGTCCGTGGTATAAACGGAAATTCGCGATGAGAAGAAAAAAGCGTGTTGCTATTTGAAAACAAGGGCGGATCCGAGCTGAGAACTAAAAACACGTGCCACTCTTGTTACAAAAAAAATAAATACTTTAATCACTACGGTTGTATGTGTATATCGAATCACATAACATTATCAATGTTTGACGTCAAGACAAAGTTGTAATTCCTAAAGAAATATTGTATAAACGACAGTTTTAGTTGCTGATATAACACATAAATGCAGTTTGATACTATAAATCGAATTTATCATTTTTTTTTGCTTTTAAAAACGAGTTTTATTTTAACGTAAACATTTCTTATTAATTCGAAATGCGTCCTTATTTTGATAATGTTGTCAAAAAACATCCAATCATAATTTTTTTTTTTTTTAATTTGTGTGTGCGTTTTACGTTAAACCCGAGTAACCAAAATTGAAATCACACAGTTTTCGAGTTGTTTATCGATGAATGCGGAGTCAAAACTACACTTAAAAAAAAAAACAAAGAGAAAAATTACAGTCAAGCCTCGTGTGTACTGACCGTAAACAGAATATGCTGGATCTTAGTTTGTTGGAAAACACGAATCCTTTCATTCGCGTTTTCAAAACTAACACACTCGCTGATACATCAACAGTTTTAGACATAGCAATTCAAATAATCGTATTGGTTATAGTGTTAACTGTACAGAGTTATTGAAAATTTGATCATAATGTCTACATTACAATAGATTTTATGTTGCGCATTTTAAAAACCAATAATACGAGTAAACCACACATTTACACTGTTCGCGTGCTAGTCATATTCACCGCCCACATGATATTGCTACACGTTTTTGATTTTATTTCCCGTCGCTGTTTATTATCGTATTTATACGATGTACAAATAAAAATAGAATCAAGAATGCATTCTACAGGATACATTATGAATTGAAAATGTTAGAATAATTCGTGTATACATTATAAACATAAATGTGTTTCAATAAATATTTTTAAAAAAAGTTGCAAAATTAAAATATACAATATAAAACTTAAAATAATGAACGTTACCATACCCGGGATTTTGCCAAAGAGTTTGAAATCCAAAAGTATTGAATTTGTAAATGTGTCATATTATAATATATATATTGCATAACGTAGTGTACCCGGGCTAAAAAAAAAAGATCATTTTTTTAATAATTTATGTATATTTTTGTAAGTATAATTTATTTATTTAGTTACAAGTATATATTTACATTATTTACTAATAATATATACTAATCTAACCTCCTTCATATTATAAATTGGTTAGAATAAGTTTCAATTCCAAAAAGATAATGTATAACCTGCTTAAACTTAAAAAAAGGCAGTCATATCCAAATAGATACTAAAAACAAAGTGGGGAGATAAATCTCTCTAATCTTCTCCTATAAATACGCCACTGCTTGTACTTATGATATAAAAAAACCGGGCATGAGCAGGTGGGATGTTTGGAAGGTACCTTAGATAACGTCAATTTAATATTACAATTAAAAAACGATTCAGAACGAAGCTCGGTAATCCGGTTATAGTTTAAGTCGTGTTTTGTTCTCTTATCTGCAACAATTCTTTGTAGCCCACAGGTAACATAGAAATCAATAAAAATAAAACCTATGTATAGTCATTTGTTGCGATGATGGTGTTTTTTTTTTAATTTTTAAGAAAAACCGTTGGGAATTTAGACGAATCTTTCAAATCAAGTATCACCGCTCTGAGCGAAAAATTGACATTTTTAAACTGCAACGTGACAATTCGAAACATTTTTACCGATCCAAAAAACGGTTTCCGAAAAAACAAAACAACGTCTTAATTAACCTGTAATATATCTCTACTTCGATATCTTACACTCAGAATATAAAAAACACTGTCAAAAAAAACGACGGTAACAATATTTTCTTAATTCGTTTGTGTTGTTGACAACATCAAATATCGCATTTTATTATGTAAGCATTTCTAACGTATTATCATGATTAACATAATAATGTGTATATTGTCGTTGAATTCCACGAAAAAAAAAAAACCGTCTAGTGGGCTTGTTTACAAATATTTACAAGCCCCTACACACAACCTTCGTGTGCACCAGTATAGATGACGCACGGAAGTAAAAATATACGAAAAACAAAAATATGGCCGCGCGTTATTACGGTGACGTTTTTAAGGCGAAAATACGAAATTACAATAGGTACTGGCCCACGGCCGATACGTGAACAATTTTTAATGTTTCCCCGGTGAAGCCGAATTGAAAAATAGAAATAAGAAAAAAAAATAAAAACAAAAATCGACGATCGCTAACGTGGACGAATGCCAATCGTCTAGAAATAGACCGTTTGTTTGCCGGCAATTTAGTTTATGTTCGCGTTATCCAACCTTCAAACCACACAACAGGTAGTGCCGCCAAGTACTTAGGTACGTTAGTACCCGTAACACTCAAACTTTGATTAAACGTTCGCGTAAAAATGACGACGACGAAAGCTACCGAAGACGCTGCAGGATACAATCTCGTGCAGGTATGTCACCCGCGTATATTATATTCACAGATCAATATATCGAATAGCATATTACTATTAGGGAAAACGAATGTAACAGGTAGCGTTCAAACTTTAATAATAATATACCTAATCGTTAAAAGTGATAAAAAGGTTTGGTTGTTTTTTAGAAAAAATCCTCGTAATTTTTTTCTGGTAAATTTTTGATAACGACGTAGAATTGTTTAAGACGCGAACTGTTTTTATAAGATACATAGTGATAAATCTTTAATATATTTTAAACTTTTTTTCTTATTTTTAATCTCCAAATAAAGTGATGCGCATACCATATAGATTTTTTGTAAATCGATAAATTATAACTATTCGATAAAATTAATGTACAAAGATATATTTTTAGTAGGAAGGACAACCAATGACGAACATGAACCACATGCATATTATTACGTACCTATACAACTATTTTCATTAAGTGATTTCTCAACTTATGTTTATTACAATTTACTTTGCATAATACATAAACATAGATAGATGAAATATTATTATATTGTCTATGTTAACAAATACACTCGAGGGTTTGCGTGTGATGGTTATTCACAGATTGTTAACAATTGTTAATAACGAATTATTCACATTTACAACAGTAACAAGTATTAACAATCCTTAGCGATTAATCCGATTAGTTTTAATTTGATAACGATAACGGTTTCTTAACAATAAAATATTACGATCTTCTCAAATCAAATATTTATTATATTGTATAATATTAAGTATACTAAAGCATCTAAACGCCTCTTTGCAATATCCCCTTATCACAATAAAATCGCCACACCTGACCTAACAACACACACATTATTGTTAAAAAAATTTTTTTAGCAAGGTGGGGTTATATTAAACATGAACGGTGTAGAATGTTTACTTGATTCTTCCAAATATCGTGGTGATTAGCGGTTAGCAAATAAACTACCTTATCGGATATATTTATATTATACCTCATCTCCATCGTGCGCATCCCTTTTCCAAAATAATTAGTTCCTTAAGGTCCTCGTATTTTTCTTTCTTCTCTTTTTTTCCTTCGTAACTTGGGTTATAAATTCCGCGCTTCTTTCGTCTTCTCTTTCTGTCCCCTTAAATTTTTATTTAATAAACATCCACGTATCTTAGCGACCTATCGTCTTATCTCTACTAGATCCACATAATATAGTTTCCGGTTTTTATTTATCCCGTCTTATAAGTTTTCGTTTTTCTGAAGAAGTGACGTTTATTCTTTTTACTATTTTATTTTTACATATTTAGAAACACGACCACGCATAATGAATACAAATAATCGAAAAAAAATGTTGACTTTTTTTATACGTCATACATTTGTTTAATATTTTTAAAAATATTCGGAAAAACGTTTCGTCAGGGAAAATAATATTTTCAAAACTAGTTCTAAATAATACTTTTGCAAATAAACTTACTCCTAGGTTTACATACATAGGTATACGAGGTGTGGCTATTAAATAACGAGACTGGTTACGCAAAAGTGTTTTATTATAAAAGTTATTCTACATTCAAATGATCGCCTTCAATATACTCCCCTCTCCTCGCCACACACCTTTTCATTCGTTTCTTCCATTGCTCGAGGCAGTGCTGGAAGTCTGTTTTCGTAAGACCATTCAGGAGTTCCGCCGATTTTTATTTCACCTCTTCCATCGACTCAAACCGGATTCCTTTTAAGGCAGACTTTATTTTCGGAAACAAGTAAAAGTCGCAGGGTGCCAAGTCGGGTGAGTAAGACGCGTGTTCGAGTACTGGAGTGCCTTAAGCGGCCAAATAACGCTTCACGCTTTATCCTGGTGCAAGATCCACGACTTGTTTTTCCACAATATCGACCGTTGCTTACGAACTCATTCGCGCAATGTTGCCAAAACTGTCAAATAGTAACGTCGGTTCACAGTTTGACCCTCTAGAACCCATTCAGTCATCACGATGCCGTTGATATCGAAGAAAACGGTTTTGAATTTGGATTAAGACTGAATTAGATTCCGGTGCACTCTCGACCTTCAGAAAATAATTTATGCCACTCAAAAACACACGCCCGAGATAGGAAATCCTCACTATAGGCCTCTTTTAACAACTTATAGCACTCAGTTGGAGTTTTTTTTAGTTTAACGAGAAAATTTTACGTTTATCCGTTGTTCATGTTTTTCGTCACACATGGTTTTCGACACGAGAAAAAAACACGTTAATTTCAAATCACTACTGCACAAATACTATAATAGTGACGAAAACGTGTTTTGGTACGTGCATAGATAAGATATCTAGATACCCAACGAATTACTCGTTTTTTTCACTACCCATCTAAGGCGCCTTTTAGACGAGCAGTCTCGTTATTTAATAGCCACACCTCGTACACATATACAGTATTTTATGGATACATTTGAAACATAATTCAAGTGAAATTTTGGGCAGAAAATATATCAATAAAATATAATTTTCCTGTATACGACCAAAAAGTTTTCCCAGAGTGCTTTAAAAATATTAAAAAACTCAACTTTTTACCCACTTTTAAGAACGAACCATGTTGTATTTATGATAATTGAGAGATCGGGCTTGATTCTTTTAAACATATACTTTAGTAAATGCCTTAACGTTCCTACTTCAAATAAATTAAGTTAACTAAGAAATAAAAAACTAAATTTCAAAAAGACATAAAAAAAACTACTACATTACGATTACACTCAACTTTTTTTTTTATTACTATTGTACAACTTATGATAAACCTCGTGATAAATTTTCAATCATTTCTGCTAAACCAAATGAATGCTTCCCACATAAAACTAAATTAAAAAACACGGACATGCTTAGCACGTGTGTGTAACCGCTGTTGTAGGTAGGAAGTTGGGAAGGTAAGATACAGACGGAATTTAATGTATATCTGTAGGCAACGATAAACCATTGCTAACGAAAAAACGATTCTGAAATGAGTTCAGTTAATAATGATGCTTAAGTATAGAATAAATAAATATATAAAGAATAATAGTTAAAATAATGTATTGAAATTGAAATTTTGATATAGATTGGTCTATAGTATTATTTTTTTCAGTAATGTGCGTTTCCATGACAACAATGATGGCTTAAAAAAGATTAAATTAATAAAAGCTTAATAATAGCAAAAAATAAATAAAAACGGTTGCCAATGACAACCTTAATTATGTTTAATCTTCCAATCTTTTTTAACCTAAAAAACCAGGTTTTTCTCATTATCTTGAATATTAATGAGAATTTCAAGTATTTATTTAAGTATTTCTTAAGTATTTCTTATTTCAATTTCTTAACGTACCACCCAGAGAACATTTCCTTTCAAAAAAGGTGCTATACTTGATAATCGGAGTAAGCTTTCTGGTAGAAAATGTGTTCACAAAAAAAAAAAAATATATTATTCTAAAACCAATACATTTCTCGCTCTACTCAGAATCTAAACTTATAAACTCTATAAATTACTAAAAATTTGAAAATTTGACTACGTTTAAATTTAGAACACCCAATATAATAACTCTGCCGAAATTCCAAGCTTCTACAATTATTTCTAACTGAATTACAATGAAATAAACAAAATCAGATGCGTATCAATTTTGTGTAATTTTCCTATTATTTTCCTAAATAAATATTGAGTAAACTATAAGGAAAATCGATCAAAATACCACCTCCCCAATGCGCCGACTAAACAGATTTGCTTTTAGAAAAGACGCTACACTTGATTATCTGAACAAAATTGTCGATAAAAAAGTTGTAATAAACGAAGAAAAAAAACGTAAAACAATAATCACTTATTATCACGGCATAGAAAAATCTGTAAACCCAATACTTTCTTCACTTGGTTCAGAATCTAAAATTAAAGGGTAGGTAAAATAAAAAAGAAATAGAAATCAAGAGACATAAAATATTATAGGTGTTATTAGTATCAAAAAAATTAACGCTGCGAGTATATGATAAAAACTGTCTATTTTTACTTACCTACAGTTTATTTATAATACGAATTAAATATAAATATATACCTAGAATGTTTTCAATTATACGTTATACAGAGTGATTGACATAACATAATAGACACTCATTATCTCGGAAAGTATTAACATTTTTTGTTTATAGCATTTAAAAAATTATTAGCTCTTAAATTTTACATTTCTCTTTTTGTTGTTTTCCTCATTTTAGTAGGTGAAACTACTTTCTACTTTTTTTTTTTTTTAAATGGCAACCTTTATAAAAAAAAAATCCATAAATAGATGGATTATTGGATTAAATCATTAGTGCTGTTAACATTTTTAATTTACGTCAATCCATTGACGAGGTATTCCACTTTTAAATTTTGGCTAAAGAAGAGTAGTAGTACATTATTAAAACATCGTGCCCAAATGATGCTCCACTACTCTCCCCTGATCAAAATTTAAAATTATAATATCTCGTCAACAGATCGACGGAAATCAAAAATATCAACACAGAAATTTATTTTAACTAATGCGCCATTTATTATGAAATTTTTAATTTAGGTTGACGGTTGAAAATCAAAAGTAGATAGTGGTTTCAGTGCCTAAAATAAGGGTGACAAAAAAAAAGTAATTTAACATTTTAGAGCTACTAATGATCTAAAAAACAAATTCCCAAAAAAGTTAATATTTTTCGAGATAATAAAAGTTTTATTTTATGTTGCAGATAAATTTGTATAACGTAATATTTATAACCCTTTATACCTATATATATATATATAACGTTTGTAAATTTTTAGTCTTTACTCAAGTTCAATGACGGAACTTACGGCGGCCGAGAACGTATGGTTCATAAGCCCGCTTGGAAAATGCTGTTTTTGATGTTAAAATATCTAAACTGCTACCCGGAATTCAGTGAGTATAATAATAGGAACTAATAGCTGCTATTTTTAAAATCGTAAAAGTACATTTTTACGCTTTACAAAAAAAAATTGCTAAAAATATCAACTCCAAAGTATATTTAACGTTTATAATTCGGTACCTATTAAAAATAAATGAACACGAGTATTGTCAAGATTAAAAATTGTGTTTTATAAGTATACACGAAAAAGTAATTTTGTTCAAAATATTACACAGCACTTTTTATATTTTAAATTAAAATCTTAAAAATCTCAAGATCTTTGAATATATTTGAACGTATATACTTAATTATTTAATATCTCACGCTATGTGCTCGTACAAAAATCGTGTTGACATAAAATGTTAAAAATCTATGATACAGATTTTCAATTCAGTTTTAGACGTAATATACGAATGATATCGTTCACGATATTCAAACGTATTGAGAGGTAGCTTGATATATTGAATTTCGTGGTTCAAAATAAAATAATACCCACTTCGCTAAAACGCGCAAGTATAATACATCCCATTAAAAATAATATACCACTAAATTGTATTGATTAAATAGAAACAATACTAAAAAGTACAAATGCAATGTATGTTTCACCGATTATAATTGTTATTTATTTATCAATTGAATCGTGAGAATTTTGGATGACCTTATAGTTCACAGACATTTTTTTAACATTTAAACGATCCAGTAGCGTATCCAAATAGGAGAAGGCAATAGGGGCATTTGCCCTCCCCCCCAAATACTGTAATATAGTATGCTATTTTTTTGTATTGTGGACTACAATACAAGACAATTTGTGGTAAAATATTTACCAAATTTAACTGTAGTAAATGGTTTTAACCAAGATTGTATTCAAACCATCTATGTATGTACTTTTATTGATAATGATGTGAAATCCTTTACAATGTGAAAGAAAATTTCTAAGCTGAAGATTTATTAATTATTAATAATAAATCTATGCAACTGAATTGAAACATGATTTATAAAAAAATGATAGTGTAATATTTAAATATATTATTATTGGCATTATTTTTCAAATTAGTTTTATTATACTGCAATAAACAATAATTCGGAGAAAATAAGTGGAAAGTAAAGTAAAAGTGTATTTTAAAATTTAATTAACTTATCTTAAGTTGTATGTATTTGTTGTCATAAATAAATCATTGTCACTAATAAATAGTAGTAAGTTAAGTTGATGAAAATCAAAAATCTAAGTTTAAAATTAAAAAAATCTCGACTTTTATAACTTTTTAATTCGTTAAAGCCCGAAATTGAGTATTTAATTGTAAATTATTATTGATGACTTGTGCATTCAATCCACAGATCAGTTGCCGTATCATTTGACTCCTATAATATTGCACATACCACCGGAGTACCGTCAGATAGTGTTGAAGGATCCGATGATCGTTCGAAAACGTCACATGGATTTGTTGCCAATCAAATACGGTTATCGAGAGTTTTTGAAGGCGCACATAAACCGTTCCAGAGCGTTGCCTTATCAATACGTACTCTGGGAAGGCGGTTTCGTGTTGGTCGTATTTTGTTTCTACGCGATCGGTAAGCTGCAGCTCGTATAGATATATTTTATTTCATTGTCGATTTCAATATGAACTTCATCCTGGTGTTGAGAAAAAATTATGTTTTTTTGGCTTTGCGCACTCCTATAAACCCTCTAAATGTAGCTAGGGAGATAACATTTTGTGCTTGCATGGTGTAAGTATCAAGTATGTGCCTTTAATTGATTTCAACTTTCAACCCTATCCTCAACCATTCATATGATCAAATTTCATGTTTTCACAGGAAATATAGGGTTTTAATTACCGTTACAGCTAGACTCATAAAAGTAAGAAACTTGATTAAAAGATGTAAACTACATAAATATAATTTTTGTCAAGAATATGCCTTTAGAAGATTTGAACTTCCGACTCTCCACCAAAACGTCTGTATTTTATCAAAAATCTCAACAACTACTTTGCCTATTTTGATAAAACAAATTTTTGTTCAATTCATAATCGTTATAAAAAAAAAAACCTAAATATTTTAACAAGTCAACAGGTGGAAAATTCGATTCTAGTAACGGTGTTTTATCGCTCATGTATTTTTTTTTTTTTTTTGGAAGTAGTTTATTATATAGTTAAGTATAGAGTAGTATTATATTATTATAGTATTCGTTTGTTTGTTGTTTTACAACGAATATTTCTATAATACAAAATAGGTGGGGGGGGGAATTTGACTATGGTGACGGAGGTCTGCTGCTTACGGGTGTTTTTTAATTTATACCATATGGTCGGTACCTATATTATAATACCATTATCAAGGTTCTCTATACAAATTATACACTCCAAACAATAATTATTAAAATTATGTTATTCGTATATACTCATAATAATAAATGATGATTCACATTTGCATTTGCATAGTGGTTCTTAGAATTATTTAGAGTTCCGACACATAATGGGCACTTAATATTATTAAACCGTTCTGATCGCTTTTAAACGGTAGTATTAGACCGATTGGCAATGATGTTTAACGAACTTCGTACAATTATATAATATCGCATACATAGGTATTAAGTCGTATAACCTTTGGCCCTTATTTCAAATAATAATATACTTAACTATATTTTAGTTATTAATTATAATCATCATAGATAAAAATATTATTGTATGGGTAGGTATTTAAATAAGGATGACTAATAACTGAAACGTACCTACAGACGAATGACATCTGATTTTTTCACATAAAAGAACATCTTGCACGCATTGGCACAAATTATTACTTATCTTATAACTATTAAAAATGTTATTTTTGTGCGACAAGAACGGTATGCAGTTAAGTCTCGAGTCTTTGACCTCATTTATTCTGTACTATAATGACGTATAGACTCTTTTAATTTCGGTTTTAGAATAAGTACCTACTAATCGCGGACATTTCCTCCCTACCGGTCTAGTAAGACATTTTCCCCCCTTATTTTTATAAAAATCTTATAATTTATTATGAAATTGTTATTTTTTTGTCAAATGTCTAATTTTATTTAAAGACAGAAATCCAAATATTTCTATAAATATAATATTATTATAAATAATGTTTAATATATGGATTATAATAATAACAGGTATACCTTTGAAATAAAAAATTGTTTTAATCAATTAGTTGCTTAAAGACTATTAAGATAACAGTATTATAGATCGTATTTGACACAATAAAGACAAACAATTTTAAATGAATAAAATAGCTAAAAGATTTTCTGAATATAATATAATTAATAATTTATAAAAATGGTTGAAAATTTCAACATAAAAATGGTACAATTTATACAAAACTTTGATTTCTAATTCTTTATTTATTTATTTGTCCTAAATACATATTGTTAGGCCTTTGTTTCAATTTTTGAACTGTTTATTTTAAGAATTTGTATTTTATTCATGGCCACAAAAAAAATGTTATAATTTTACCTTTTTGGATTCTGAGTTTAGCGAAGAATATATTGGTTTTACAAGGATGTTTGTTTATTTTTTTATTTTTATGTAAACACTTTTTCTATTAGGAAGCTTATACTAATTATCAAATATAGCACCTTTTTTGAAAGGAAATGTTCTCTTGGTGGTACTTTAAAGTGGTAATTTTTTGAAAATCTCATTAATATTCGAGATAATGAGGAAAATCTGGTTCTTTAGGTTAAAAAAGATTGGAAGATTAAACATAATTAAGGTTGTCATTGGCAACCGTTTTTATTTTATTTGCTATTATTAAGTTTTTATTATTTTAAAAATCTTTTTAAGCAATCATTGTCATGGAAACGCACATTGTTGTAATCATTTTACCATAATATGACATATATAATATTGACAAAGCAACACCTTCAACTGAACTTCGCTCGATAATGGTTTATCGTTACTTACAGATGTACATTAAATTCCCGTCTGTACCCTACTTTCCCAATTTCTCACCTACAAAAGTGGCTGCACCCACGTACTAAGTATGCCAATCCTTTTTTTTTAAAACGTTTCCATTTATTTACGATTTTACGAGTTATAACCACTAAACTACTACTAAGTGTATAACTGCTTTAAACAGTTTTGATATAAAATTTGGAAATAATTTCATAAAATAAATAATAAACTTTCAAATAATATGGCGCGAAAATGCCCGAATAAAAAATGTTATCGGGATAAGATATCCTACTGTAGTACTATACCGAAAACAGTCAGGGGACGGGAAATCTCCATATACCCTTATAGCACCCGTTATCCCGTTATAAAATAAAAAGAGAACAATATTCCGGAGGGCAATCCGATGAGTTTTTTAAAAAAAACTAAACTATTTCAATAGTTTTAAATGTCTGTATAGTTTTTCGAAAAAATAACTTTAAACCTCCAGTATATTTTCCTCTTTTAGTTTTTCAGCAAGTGTTTTTACTCTAAAGCCGAAATCAAGCGAGCTCTGCTCAATCTGTGTCTCCGTATATTTGATATGTTACCCGTTATAGTTAATGACATGATAGCGTTTTCCACGCACGACTGCACCGGATGCACTGGTGCACAATTTGTATGTTCTACATCGAACACGGGGCACAATCGGTTTTATGTTCCACCTTCAATTTACCAGGTTTTTGCACTCAATGCGTTGATAATCATACGAGCTCTTAATGACGGTGGACTTCTGATAATCTCATTGCTCTTATAAAAAATATATGTTATCTTCATATATTATGTACCTACTGTCGTTATTGTAATATTGTGGACACACGGTAATTTGAAACAACAACTTTGAACAATTATTATGACAACACACCTTTACCAACATAACGTGTTACATCTACTTTTGCACTGGCCTATACCAGTATGATTATCAGTGTACTGTTCGAGTATACTACCCGAAAGTACTAGTGTCATAATATGGAAAACGCTATGATCAAGACCGTGTTATGGAATTTGTCGCTCCCAGGGACAATAAACAAAACATACATTTATATGTTAAAATAATTGTAATTTTCTTCCTGGGGTTATGACTCAGCAAATTTATTTACTGTACAATTTATTAATAATAAAGTAAAAACAAAATTATTAAAACGGTCAATACTCGTAAATAAATGTGATAATTGTTTCTACAGGACATTATATTTTTTTTATCGCTTAAGTTTGTGTCCATCATAATTCTATAAATTATGGTAACAAATTACAAAATAACAAAATATATTATATTATATTTAAAAAGTTAGCCACCTCCCCCCTCAAACAGTGGCGTATTTAGGATTTACCAATTTTGCATATGAAGCCAATGAGATGTGTATACAGGACGATTCACTAAGCATGTTCACCCTGTATATATATACTTTATAGAATTTGGAACTTTTGGACTTAACCACATATTTATATACTTGCTGTTATTACTACACGATGTAGACAATCGACATGTCACAAGTTTAGCATATAACGCAACCAATTGGAATATTCGATATAATAAGATAATGTTTTCGTAAGCCGATCGTAGTCCAGTTCGAATTCAGGAGGTGGTCAATAGGGTCATTTACCCTCCCCTCAACACCGTAGTTTATAGCTTTTTTCTTGAATTGTTGTAGCGTATAAACCAATGTTTATTGTTGTAAATGGTTTTACGACCCCCCCCCTCCTCCAATAAAAAAAAATTAATGTCTGATCCTCCACTGTTACAGTCATAACAATAATCGTGTAGCGCTGAAATCGTGTTTATGTTTGACGGGAGAAAAATACATTTATAAAATATGAGTTTTTTTAGTCAGAACGTCGTATATTACCCCAATAAAATATTTTCCGTTTACGACGAATAAAGTGACTGCACGCGGACATTCGTAATTTGCGAAAACATTTCGCTCGGCACGGCGCCACTGAATATTATTATCTTGTCGTAAAAAAGGTTTATAGAGTAATAATTCGTTATGTTAAATTATGTGAGTATACACCGAGCTAGAACACTTTTTCCATTAGTAAAAATACCTCGAAACTTTCACAACGCACCCGAGATGTGGCTTTTATCCGTCCGCCACCAGTATTTTATAGTTGAAATATTTCTCTTGATTCTGGACAGTTTTTCTGAAAAATTTAAAACTACCAACAAATGACGATATACAACACAAATGACACTCGAAATTATATTTTTAAATTTCGCTTCTTTACGGGGCTTCGCTTGGATTTTGGACTTTTTAAAATTCTGTTGTCTTTTTGATTATGAGCTTTTTATATTTAACCGTGCGCAGTATTTAAAACAACACAGTTAAGGTATTACATATTTCTATAGTATAATGTTTTGAAAATTGTAAAATTCTATTAATTTCCACAACCTAATATAATATTAGGGACGTTTTATTTATACGGTTACATTATTATAATATAATCTGTGACTGATTCTAATATTTGGAAATAAAATTACAGGTGATAATATTATTCGAGTAGTAAACATCACGATACATTTTTCGAAAAATGTCGAACCCGAGCCATTGTGCTATCAAGATAAGCTCATGCTGGAAGAAGTAAGTACTAAACTATATATCTATATACATTATACATATGTTATGATATCGCTAAAGAATGAGGTTAAAAATTTGATTAAGACTCTTTCTCTCTCCTTTTCTCTGATATTCAAACTTAGAAAATTAATAATATATAAACTATAGGTTATATTATATTTTATATTTATTATATTTCCAGCGTTATTCTCTGGATACGTTTAACCCCGGTTATGCATTACCCAAACCAATATCGATCAATACGAACAGGTAATAATATATTATTTTCTCAATTTTTCGGTGACAATTATAATAATTATTTCATTTTAATGGAAATTATATATGCTTATATTGCTTTTTTACAAGATGGACGATTTTGCGAGACCTAAAAGAATCCAACGATAAAAAGGGCAACGAAATGTTTCTGTTATCGTTGGTGCCTTTGATGGACAAATTATCCGATCAAGTACTCATGGAAACCAGACGAAACATGTTAGAACTTTTGGAGAAAGCTATGAGCTGGAAGAGGAATTTCGATCGTTAAAATATCAATAATTTATACGAGTATTTTGTCACATATATTTTTTGTACTTTGTTACCTAACCTAAACGAAAATTGATTTTTATTTTATGATATTTATTATTATGTATCTACCAAGTAGTTATATTCCTATATTGTTGTTATTTACTATATGTAATTTATAGATCATATTTATTTTATTTTATTTATATTTTATTTTTTTTCCATTATTTTTGAGTTTGTTTTATTGAAATAATAACAACGTATTATCACTACAATATAAGTATGCTGTAGAATTAGGTATCAAATAGGTATTCTTTATTTTAGTAAGAATGTATTTACAATAATGTGAACTCTTTTTTTTTCACAAACTTTTCCACCAAAAATCTTCCTCCGATCAAAAAACAATAAGAAAGCTGCTTTTATAGCATTTGAGATCAAATTAGTTTTCACAGGAAACACTGGGTTTTGAATATTCCTACAGAATCATCAAAATAGATAACTGGGTTAAAATTTGTATAGAACTCTTACCGAGAATGTGAGAATGTGCCTTTAAAAGGGTTGAACTTCCAACTAGCGTCCCCACTGTCTGTTTGTATGTTAGCAAAAATCTCGAGAACAGATATATTTTTATAAAACCATTGTATTCAATTCCTTATCCTTTAACTGGAAAGTAACACTGGATACTTTTTATACCTAAAAGAGAAGAGGTGTAGTTCTACATGATGTAGGGCAGGAGGAATGAGTAAACGTGGTCAATGGGTGTCAATGTGTATTTAAAAATACAAAAAAAAATTGTAAAAATGTAATAAAATTCTAGCTTGCAATAACTATTTTAGATAATTTATAAAAAAATCAAATCAAATATTATAACAGCAAAAAGTCTGCTGGGGGAAAATTAGACTAGTGACGGAGCTCTAGTACTTAACAGTGTTACAATAGCACCAAACCTAAGTATAGAAAACAGGTGTACATCGAATTATTGTGAATACGTAAATAAAATTCTGAAAATTTCAAAACATCGTGTGTAATATATATAATTATAATATTTACAGATCCGTACAGAGATATAGTTGTGTAGTAAATACAATAATTGCGCATGGTTGTTTGCAATTATAACTTAAACTCTTGTTGTATTATTATTAATTTTTTTTTTTTTTTACTTTGTCTACGTTGTTTTATATTTTTCATTTAGCGCGGAATAAATAAATAATTAAGGACAAAAACTGTTTATCGAAATCAATTCGTCGAAACATCACAAATTTAGATAACATTTATGTTGACCTAATTCAGTAAAAATGTAATTTAATATTACAATCTAATATCTGAAAGTTTGATGTCAACTGCCAGTCATCCCAATTATTGGTATTATTTCCTTTAGTCTTATACGAGTAATAAAAAAAGATTCCCGAGAATTGCCTTTTTTTTTATGAGACGGGGGGGAATCAGGAGTCTTTGATTGATTTTTCAATTTTACGGGAGAAGGAACTTGGTCGACTTTAGTTCTGCCCTACAACTATGCCTACAGCCTATATGCGTATTGCTTTGTTTTAGACGTTCAAGTGGTATAGCGTTATAAATTATAATATTAAATAGTATATATATATATATACATTTGATTCTTGAGTGTTATTCTAAAACTATACAAACACGTCTTTACCTTTATTTTTAATCTCCATTCATAAATAATTAGATAAAACATAAAGTACCGTGGTTTAAAATAATATATAATAGGGGTCAGTTAATTTTTTGTTTATGTACTCATTTTTTTTATACCAACCTATACCTACTTTACATAAAATTTGTTTCGCTAGTGTTATTACCCAGGTATTGATATAGGCATTAAGATATATTTGATTAATGTTGTTGTTGTTGTTGTTATATCAGAATAATTTAAAATCTCAATGGCGAGAAAATAGTATTTTATTTCACGCGTGCTATATATATATATATATATATATATAAAAAAAAACGATTTCAAATAAAGTTATATTAGTAATAATAATCGTAACCCAGAGATCAATAAAAATAAAACCGACGTATCAACATTTGTATTTAGTTTTTTTAAATTTCATAAAAAACTATTGAATACCTAGACATTTTGTTTTTCAAATAAAAAATCACAGAGCAGAAATTATGCATCTTTTGGTGTAACGCGTAACAAATTGGAACATTTGGCTAACCAAAAAAACCACAAATAGCAATATTTTTGGAGAAACGTATTGTTGGAATTTACACAAATTAATCTAAAAAAGTACCACGACCGAGTAAAAAAATACAAACATAAATCACAAGTGATTGCAGCCACTGTTGTAGGTGGAAAGTTGGGAAGGTAGAATATACAGACGGGAATTTAATATAATTCAATATAAGCAACGATAAACCATTGCTAACGAAAAAATGATTCTCTGCGGCGTTCGGTTGATAGTATTGTTTTGTCAACAATATATATGTCATATTATGGTAAAATCATTACATAAGCATTAACATTTTCCTAAATGATATTTTTTTAATATTATACCTATTTTCCTGTTCTCCCATTTTTTCTGATTTTTCAAATATATTGAGAAAAATCTTGAGAAAATTGAAAAATGACCTCCTTAAAGTACCTCACCAGTCAAATTTTCTTTCCGAAAAATGATGGAAAAAAAAAATAATAGAAAATTAAAAATGTTTGTAAAACCATAAGCTTCTTCGCTCCACTCAGAATCTAAAATTATTTAAGGTACGACAAAAAATCGAATTATCCAAGGGGAAAGAAAAAAAATATCACAATAAAACTAATACACTCAGAAACTAAAATAGTTATGGATAGCAATAACCGCTAAAATATGAATCGCAATAAATATTATTAATTTCTGTTTGCATATTATAATATATATAATAATAATAATAATAATAATAATAATTTGTACTTTGCTTCGTTGCGTATTATATATTATAGTACTGCGAAACGTTTATAATTACTAATCTATCGAACTTAACAATTATTTTATATATTTTTTTTTTTTCTAACGCAACGATCCGTATATAATTATAACGAATAATATTATTCTACAGAGTGCCCTACGAAGACGTACCCATTTATCCATTTGTATAAATGAGTGTATTTTCGTGAGACGCTCTGTACAATACGACTGGCATTCGTTATCTAAAAGAAAAAAAAACACAATCATCACCATATAATATCGTATCTTCTTCTCGTCCTTACCTCGTCTATTACCTATTACATCTACATAATAAAAAAAGAATATTCAAAATCATTAAAATATTGCATTACTTATACCTATTAATACTCGTATTACTTCATTTATTAGAAAGAAAAATAAAACCTACGTTTGTGTTTGCAGACTATATACACTGCAATAGAGAATAAACAAATTATTATAATACGTTATTATGTAAAATAGCATTTATTTAGCTTTTTTCACAAATTAATTCTTGAAATACAATACGAATAAAACAAAAAATGCCGACACTACTAACGAGTGTGCCACTGTTACTGATTTAGGAAGGGAGCTTGAAGGAACGATATTATAGAGTAATTTAATTTATTAAACACTTAAAAAAAAAAAAAAACAATAAACCGTTATTGAACCAGCTAGATCAATAATGGTACATGAGAAATTTCCTATCAAGTTTTTGATTGGAACAAGATTTCTGGTAGAAATATGGTTTAATTTAAACGTACCCGATTTAAGAATAATATTTACCTAAGATGATGTATTTGAAATTCTGTACAAATAACAAGAAGACTATTGTTCTTTTTGGGTTACAGAAAAATTGACGACATTCAATTCCGCGCAATATATATCTTTTTGTCTATACACGATTCCGTGAACTCGTATCGTACAAAATATTTTTTTATTTTTATCCGAGAATAACACGATTCCACATAAATATTGTTGCGACATTGTCCTTTTGGTTGTTATAAAAACAAATTCTTCATCGATCTTATTATTATATACATCGCTTTAGTCACGGATTGAATGTCACGGCGTCTTTTAACAGTGACGATTTTGGAGTTTTGAATAACTCCATCCAAATAGTTTGTATATAGTGTTATCTACTAGAAACTGATTCCTTGGTCGTGACTTATAATATTTTCTCTGAAAACTCAATACTTATATTGACTTTGTATCTTGTTAGGAGCAACTGCCGGGTGATTGCGTGCACCTTTGGGTCCGAGATAATCTTTTTCGCTAATCTAAAACGATAAATGAAAGTAATTCTGTGTGGAATCGTTTAATAAACGAAAAAGCCAATACGCGGAATCGTAAATTATAAAAATAACAATAGTAAAAAAATCAAATTGTATATGAAGTCTGGGAGCGGAAGATTCACCCAAAACCGTGAGGAATTTCGTTATATTACCTAACGCATATAACTGGAATAAGCCAGAAGGTGAAACTAGAAAGTAAAATTAGTTGAATAATGTGTACAGGCCATAGGGTGATTTTTTTCATTATGAACCACCGGTGATCATCTGTATACAGAGAGTAGGAGTAAATTCGATTTTGATTTTTTTTTAAGCCGTTATAATATATATTGAATAATTTTGTTACGATTTATTATTGTTTAAAATATTTTCAAAATGCACAATTTGCATATACACGTAAAATTATTAGAAAAATATTCTCTTTTCGAAACTGCCGAGTTTAATAACTTAATTTTTCAATCATTTATTGTTTTGTATATACCAAATAATAGTAAAATTGCAAAGATATTGTGAGTAAGAACATCAGGTTGTAATATAATCGTAAAATATTATTTATATAGCTATACTGCCCTCATATTGGTAAGTGCAGAAACTACCAAATCGTCAACAAATAAGATTAGAATACAGTAGTTTTAATTTGTATACCTATTCTGAGTCTTTTATTACTTAAGTTAGATATTACCTAGTTAAAAAGCAGTAAAAACTTAATTTAGTACCTCAAAAATCGCTTTTAAAAATAATATGTCGTAACTAAAAGTTTTTGTTTTAGTGTTAAGTATTCTTAAGTACCTATTCAAACATTACTGGAACAAATTGCAGTAACAAACAAAACCTACACCAAAATACAGTAAGTGGATACTATTTACTGCGTTTATAACTGGTAACGGATTTTTATACTGCATACGTATATGAATAGCATACCGGAATTAAGTGTTTTCGGTGTCACGTATACTAACTGCAATATCTGAAATATACTACAGTTTATAGTGATATTTTCCATTGGTACGTGGATTTATAATCACTAGATAAAAATACAGTAAAACATTGAAAATCTTACTAAAAAATGAACTGATTTTTTAAAGTTTTGTATGTTTTTACATGAATATAATGAACATACAACATAATAATAGTTACTTTTATTATCAGATGTATCAAAAAAGGTAAAATGTCAACTTTTCGAAAATTAATTTTTGTTTTAGTCACTGTAATTGTTGCTCGAGAGCAACATACTATAATGATGTCTAAAAAAATCGAAATAAAATTCACTCAAAATCTCATCATTGATAATAATAATATATTAGGTGTTCCAAGTGGTTCGTGATCAAAACATATTATATTCACTCTGTATAAATAATTGTCCATTGTAATTATTATTGACGATAATATTCTATAATATTATGTATTCCCGCATACTTAGAATTAGCAAGATATTTATAGATTTTATAGATAAAAAACTCTGGCATAATTATTATACTCAATAACAATTTGCATGTATTATTGTAAACTGAATTAACTGCATACAATTTATCGAGATTATATCCATATACAATTTTATTTAAAATCGCATTTATATTTTATATAACCGCATCGTAAAATGGGTTTCATTTGTTGTTTTTCAAAGCATATAATATATACCCGTTCGCGTTTATTGGTAGTGAATTCTAAACATTTTTCTGGTAGAGGCCCTAAAAAATATTTATTTCAAAGTATTCTATATGTTCTTTACTAGGATATATTGGAATTATTTTTTTTTAATTTTAACTGTATTTTCTTTATCATAGGTAAAAGACAAAATTCTTTACGTATATTTTTAAAAATATAATCATTTTTTTTCACGCTGTCCGGTGAAATATTTAAATTTCTATTTCCATAAATATGTTGTAACATATCCTAGTAAAAAAATCCACCGCTGGCGTTAACCCATTTTCTTAGATTCCGAGTGTAATAGCAGTCTTGGTTTTACTATGATTTTTTTTTTCTGTCAGTAAACGATTGTCTACCAAAAATGTTGTTCTAATCATCAACTTCAGGGATGATCATATTTTGTATAGTCTGTTTATTTTTGTCATTTTTCAATTTTCCGTATAAATTCATAATAATTATGAACATTTACATGCGTAAATACATAATTTGCTGTTCCTGTTATTTTCGATTTTATTTTTTAATATTTTTTATGTAATTCAGTTAAAGATAATCGCACAGACATCTGAGACGTTTTTAATATTTATATTAAAGTGTTTGAAATTTTCTATTTTTAGTTTTATTTGTTTGTAAATTTATTTTGGCTATTATAGAAAATGCTCGAAAGTGCGATACAAGATCTTACATAAGAATTGTTTTTACGGCATTTATACAAATATCGAAAACCCATACTCGGGGTTTTATTTTACAAGCGTTTACAGCTCA